ACATTGAGATTCCACCTCACCCCAGTTAGAATGGCTATAATCAAGAAATCTAGTAACAACAGATGCTGGAGGGGATGTGGCCAGAAGGGAACCCTACTGCATTGTTGGTGGGAATATAATCTTGTTCAACCACTTTGGAGTTTCCTCAAAAGACTCCACATAGAGCTCCTCTATGACCCAGCAATCCCACTTTTGGGCATTTACCCAAATGATTACAAACAAGGCCATACTAAGGCTACCAGCACATCTATGTTTATCGCAGCATTATTTACCATAGCTAAGATATGGAACCAACCCAGATGCCCCCCAGTAGATGAATGGATCAAGAAAATGTGGTATACAATGGAATTCTATGCCTCCATCAGAATGACATTGCCCCATTTGTTAGGAAATGGAAAGACTTGGAAAAATTTATATTAAGTGAAGTCAGCCAGGCCCAGAGAAACATAGGTCCCATGGTTTCCCTTATTTGCAATAACTAGTACATGTGTAGGACAAGCAGAAAAGGTCAAAAGCTAGGTACAAATGACCAGATAAGATGATTTTAAGTGAAATGAACCCCAAGATAGGGACACAAATATCTTTTGTTCTTGCTTGCTATTGTTTCTAATGTATTTATAATGTACCATGTGATTTTTTTTTGTTTCTTTGTATGTTCCTCTCCCACAGTATAACCCCTGTTTTCACTGTATTTGATGTCTGTGCCCTGCATTTTGTATATACACTTCTCTAATTTGGGGAGGGGAAGGGAAAAACCAAAATGCTTAAATAAGGATACAGGTTGACCCATTGTAACAATGAGATGTACAAGACACTATGTTAAAAATGAACTTTACAACTTTGGGGTGGGGAGGAGGGGTAGTTGTGGAGGTGGGAGGGAAGGGATGGTAGGGGAAAACCAAAGGAGGAGGCAACAATGCTTGATAGGAAATTTACTCATTACCTTGCTCATGTAATGTAAAGAGAAGATGACTGTAAACTTGGAACTTTGCTTGAAACAAGCACAGCAGTAATGAGGTTATAATGGGGCCTAAATTACCACACATACCTAAAGTGGATTTGCAGGATGACGCCTTAAATACAATGGCAAACTTAATTCAGAATAAACTTAAAGAGGTAATTTCATCTGTACCAAAGCCTTCAGATGACAAGTTGGAAAAATTCATGTCCAAGTCGTCCATTAAAACAAAGAAGAAGAACATAGATTGCCAGTAACAAGTTGGTATTTTCCAAAGAGAAATTTTTTTCTTTTTTAAAATTTCTGTTATTCCCCAGCACTGAGCTCATGTCTACAGTGCTCACTCAGAAGATCAAGGTCTGAAGCCAGCCTAAGCAGACAAATCTCTGAGACACTGATCTCCAGTTGATCACCAAAAAGCTGGAGATGGAGGTATGGTTCAGGTGGTAGAGCACCAGCCATGAGTGAAAAAGTTAAGCAAGAGTGAGAAGCCCTGAGTTAAAACTCCAGTACTGGCACATATAAAAACATGTTTTTTTCTTTAGTGGTGCTGGTGTTTAGATTCAGGGCCTTGTGCTTGCCAGGTCAGTGCTCTACTGCTCAGCCACACCTCCATCCCCAACTACTATTTTAAAATATGCATTTTGTAATTTAATTCATACTATTTTTCTAATATTACAGTTTTATTGAGGAACTGTTCTTGTTAATATAGCATTGCTTCACATCACAATAACTATAAATTAATTGAAGTGAATATAAAAGTTTTCAAAGATACATAACCAGGGTCTGTTTCTAATTTTAATATCAGTACTGAGCAATTCATGTTCGAAAAGTCAGGATGTTCCTGAATCTCAGGGCTTCAAAATGAAGACAGTTCTGTAAAGTAAGAAAGTTAATAAGCTATTAGAACCAAGTTAAAATGAGAAGTTTACATGCTTTTGTTAACTTTTAGGAAAAACTTACTTGATTTATAGCAGTTGATAAGCCTGTCTGGGAAATTTCCACTCCTGCAATTTTTGAATATCACTTTTTTTCCATGTCAAAGAAAAGTAGAGCTGGGCTGGGAAGATGGCTCAGTGGTAGAGCACTTGCCTTGCATGCCTGAGGCCCTGGGTTTGATTCCTCAGCACCACATAAGCAAAAAGAAAAAAACCGGAGGTGGTGCTGTGGCTCAAGTGGTAGAGCGCTAGCCTTGAGCTGAAGAGCTGAGGGACAGCGCCCAGGCCCAGAGTTCAGGCCCCACGACCGGACCCAAAAAAAAAAAAAAAGAAAGGAAAAGTAGAGCTAATCAAAGACAGGAAGTTCTATAACTCCAATGAATTATGAAGCTAATCATTTCAACTCAGAGTCAAATATGAAAAGCCTCATGAGCACAAATAAAACACTATAAAACTGAAAAAAAGAGAAGAGAATTTGGAGCTTTCTGTATAAAAACCACAGCAATCCTTAAGATACAGGTAATGCAGGGAAAAGGAGAGAAAGCAATGCAGGGTTAATAATCCAAATTGTTTCTCTCCTGTTCATATGGGTCACCTTCTTAGGCTAAACCTCACAAACCCAGGAGATTTGGGGACTTTTTGGCATGGAATCTGTGATGAAGATAACCATGATAGGTCATCATGGAGAGGGAGGTGATCTGACGTGGAACCGCTGAGAAGTTTAAACAGTGGGGAGCTCAGGCATTGATGTATCTGGTGGTTGTCGGCTGTAACCTCCCAAGGAAAGACAAGACTCATTGTCCGAAGGTCACAACCAAAGAAATGCACCAAACTCATAGCTGGTGGAGGTCTCAGATTCCAGAATACACCTGCCAGTGTTCGGGATTTGCTGCCAGGTGGAATTTAAGACTAAGTAACTCTGGGGGTTTGAAATAAGCTCCAGTGTTCTACAGCATTGCAGGATCACTACAGTTTATAACACCATTTTTATATTTTTTTGAAGAATTAGAAAAAAGGAGTTTAAAGCCCTAAAATATAACTAAATGAAAAGAAGATGGAAATGTTAATTGCCCTGAGTTGATCATTACATAGTTTGTATATGTATTAAATAATCACACGGTGTCTCATAACCATGTATAATTATTATGCATCAATTAAAAACAAAAATTTTAAAACATCCTTCTTGCATATAAGCACACACACACAAATGTGCTATTGATTCTGCTTGTTTCATGTCATTCTCCTTTTTTTCCTGAGTTCTTATTTTGTTCTCAAGTATTAGCTGTACAGGGGAGTTTCATTATGGCATTTCCACACACATTTGTAATGTACCTTGATCAGCCTTACCCCCTTTATCAATTCTCTCATTTCTCTCCCTTGTCTTAAAACAGTTTCAAACAGGTTTCACTGTTCTACTTCCACACATGAAAATAAACTACATGGACCATATTCACCCGCATTTACCACCTTCATTAATCCTTTCCATTTCTGTTGACATCCTCCCTCACAGAACCCATTTTACTTTCATGTCATCTAATTTTTTTAGAGTGTATTAATTGCACCAGTGGGTTTCACTATGGTATTTCGCATGCAGGTATACTCTAGTGTATTATATTTTGCTCAGAATAACTCTCTTGCTTTTTCTTCTCCTGACCCCCCTACTGATCAACAGTTTTCATTGAGATTTCTTAGGCTATCTTCATACATGGTTGTAATGTATTTTGCAATTATTCATTCTCCATCTTTTTCCCTTTCCCTTGTTATTCTTACATAGTTTTATAGTGAGAATCATTCTAAACCTTTTTTTTTTTCTTTTTGGTGATACTGGGGTTTGAACTCAGGTTCTCATGAAATATCACTCTGGCCACACCCTCATCCCTTCTTCTTTAATTTTTTTTTTTTTTCAGATAGGGCTCAGGCATCTTGGGATGGCAGGGCTCATGCTTTGCCCAGATGGTCTCATACTTTAATCCTTCTACGTAGGCCTCCCTAGTAACTGGGATAAGTGTAGTCTTAACCAGTGTGCTCCAATATGACTCTAAACTCTAGGATGATGGGAGTGAGGTTCCTACTGCACTATGTTTGCAGTTTAGCCTCTGACATGGGAGTCTGATGGGACAGGTTTTGTGTTTGAAGACTCCAGGCCTACCTGGAGTCTATGCCTGTCTGAATGTTTGAATGAGGGATGTGGTAGGATAAGGAAATCACCTCTCTAAGAGGCTGAAAATGTTCCTGACAAGTTCTGTGAATCTCCCTCATCCCTTTTCTGGCCCACATTGGACACTCAGTGGCTGGAGTGGGGCTGACTGGGCTAACAGTAGAGAACATGACTCCTCAGGTACATTTGGAAATTGTACTTGTTGATAGCTAGCGGAAATGAATGAGGGAAGTGGAGTCACACACATAGGAAGAACGTTTTCTAAAACACAGAGAAGTTGATTGAATAAGTCAGCAATATAGAAGCCCGATTCAGAGGCAGGTTAGTTAAGAGCCAGTTTGGACAGGCATGAGCTAAACTCCACGGTGACTCATTGAGTCACAGGAGAACCCTACCCCAGCCCTGGGGGTGCAAGGCCACAGCCGCTGGGTGGCATTGCACACACTTCCTGTGGCAGCCCAGGACTATGCAGAGGAAGCAACTTCCCTTCTCCCAGTGTCAGGGTCAGATGCCCGCTGAGCAGAGCCCTTTAATTAAGCCCTGCCCTCTGGATGAACAGCGTCTGCTTCGTGAGAAGAAAGAAAGAAGGGAGGAGTTGAACTTGACAATAACAACACACAGAATCAGGACTGGAATGGAGGGGAATTTAATGGGAGTGTGAAAGAGTGGAGTCACTCGCTTTCACCTTGAGTCCCTCCTTACATAAATTCTGCATAGATGAAAACCAGCTAGGCACTGAACTCCTCAGGCTAACTCAGAGGCTCGGAAGCCCCACGTATGCAGGAAAGAAAGCCCGATAGCGCTTGTTTGCAGGGTACAAATCAAGGAGGGACTTTGACTCAGGGTCACAACATGCAGGTACAAGGCTACTAAGACTCATAAGCAGAATGGGAAAGGAAGCGCAGCATCAATGGCTAACTCCTTGAGGGTGTGGCTTTGGACCACTTTACTTTTGCTTCATCTGCTGAGCTGGTGCTGGAGTGACTGTTGAAGGGCAGGGCTCAGGCATCTTGGGGTGGCAGGGCTCAGGCATCTTGGGGTGGCAGGGCTCAGGCACCTTGGGGTGGCAGGGCTCAGGCATCTTGGGGTGGCAGGGCTCAGGTGCCTTGGGGTGGCAGGGCTCAGGTGCCTTGGGGTGGCAGGGCTCAGGCATCTTGGGGTGGCAGGGCTCAGGAGCCTTGGAAGGGCAGGGCTCGGGTGCCTTGGGGTGGCAGGGCTCCTTGGTTTTGGGGGCGCATGGCTCCTGGGGTGGAGGCTGGCAAGGCTGTTTCACCTGCTGCTGATGCAGTTGGGGAACTTCAGTACAGGGCTGCTTCTGCTGCTGCGAACTCATTTTCAACAGTGGCTGGTCCTGGAGACAGAACAGAGGATTCGAACAAAGGAATAACTCAGGGAGAAGCCATCCTCAATGTGACTTAGGATCTTTTAAGAAGCAAAGGTTCTTCTTCCTTTCCAGTGCACAGACTACTTGGATAATTTCTGGGTCTTTGAAGAGGAGAAACTTAAAGATAATGGGTTCTGCTTCACTTGAGAAGGACTCATCCCAGTATTCTATCTCTTTCTCTCTTTCTCTTTCTTTCTCTTTCTTTCTTTCTTTCTTTCTTTCTTTCTTTCTTTCTTTCTTTCTTTCTTTCTTTCTTTCTTTCTTTCTTTCTTTCTTTCTTTCTTTCTCTCTCTCTCTCTCTCTCTTTCTTTCTTTTCTTTCTTTCCTTCTTTGTCAGTCGTGGGGCCTGAACTCTGGGCCTGAGCGCTGTCCCTCAGCTCTTCAGCTCAGCAAGTGCTCTACCATTTGAGCCACAGCGCCACTTCCGGCTGTTTCTGATTATGTGGTGCTGAGAAATAGAACTCAGGGCCTCATGCATGCAAGGCAAGCACTCTACCACTGAGCCACCTTCCCAGCCCCTGTCCTATCTCTTTCTATAGTCAGTTAGCAGCAGAACACAGCATCTGGCTTCTAGCACGAATCAGAGACTTAAGTTACTGGGTTGATTGGAAATGCAATGTGTTGGAAAATGGCAATAACTGCAACCCACCCACTCATGATAAATAGGATGCTTCATCACCCCTAGGGTAACTCTGGTCTCTAGAATTCCTCACAGTCACACTTGAACACTGGCTCAAGCATGCCTCTCTCTAAGTTGTTTCTGTCTCCCCTACTTGATTCAGTTTACCCAACCTTCCCAGATCATAGCCTATGGCACTTTTGGATGACTTTTGAACAACCTATCCAGAAATCTCTGTGTCACCAAAGTACCACAGCAACTGGCCAGTATCCCAGAACCTGGATCAGTGTCTATGTTGTATTTTTATCTCTTAATCTTCTGAATCAATTGTAGTTGGGTGGCATAAATTCCTGTTAGCGAAGTTATTTTTAGTAGCTGTAAAGTCTTATAAAATATTTGTTGAAAGAACAAAGTTCTGGGCTGGGAAGGTGGCTCAGGGGTAGAGCGCTTGCCTTGCATGCATGAGGCCCTGGGTTCAATTCCTCAGCACCACATAAGCAGAAAAGGTCGGAAGTGGTGCTGTGACTCTAGTGGTAGAGTGCTAGCCTTGAGCTGAAGAGCTGAGGGACAGCGCCAGGGCCCAGAGTTCAGGCCCCACGACCGGACCAAAAAAAAAAGAATAAAGTTCTTTGTATTAAAATTATGAATAAAAAAGGAATTATGGACCTGAACTTCGGTTCTCTTTCTGCTATTTCCTTCCTCTGGGTCCTTGCACCAGCTCCTTACTCTTTCAGCAAGAATCAATGGCACAGAACAAATTATGTGTATCTCCAGTCTCTTCAAATCCAAAGCATGATTACTTTTACAACAGCAATTCCTAAAATTCATCCTTCAGGTGGATCATCTGCAAGACTGTGACTAAATTTCAATATTTAGAAAGACACCCCCAAATGGCAAGTTTCCAACAAACAAATGCAGGCTTAGAGTAAATGGTAAAAGTTCCAAGCAGAAAGGCTCACCTGTATGCAGAGAAGAACAGGCAGTGTGGTCCCTCAGATCTGGTGTGGTACCCTCAGCCAGCTGGCTTTTTATGCAGAGGACAGCCTTGCCTCTGGGAGATGGGACCTTTGGGGCTGCTGTGTCATTTCTTACCTGTCAGACATGATTCACCCCAGGCCCTGAATCCACCCATTGGCTCAGTGTCTGTGATGCAACTACAAACGTGACTTTTTTTTTAATTTGCTAACAATTATGTCATCTGGTCCTTTTCCTTGAAGAGCATCTTCTATGCCCAGGTGTGAGAGGATAGTGCAAATTGAAAGAGCAAAGGAAGATTTGTAAGACTGCTCAAATCAGAACAAAGGTCTGTCTTCTGGAAAGTTCTAATCCTTGGCCCAGGCATGGCTTTTATGGGATGTTTAGGATCTGAAGGAGATGTGGAAGTAAATGGCACTGTCTCTGGTTATTCTGGGAATCCACAGACATGATAGTCTGAATTGACCCTAACTGGAAAAATTAAGTAATTCCATTAATACATCACTTCATGTGGACAGGCTGGACCAAAAAAAATGTCTTATCTTAAAAAAAAAAAGACTCAAAGACAACAGAGAAGAGCAGGGAGGTAGCAAGACTTTGGTCAGTAGAGAGGAATTTTGAGTAGTGAAATTGCCAAGAAGGGTGTCAGGCCTCAAAGTGACATCGTCGGTGGAGCTCAGCCACTTGTCCTATCTAACATGGGAGCAGGCCTTAAAGATCCTGCCTCTCATGAAGATTATTTCTCTGAGAACAACACAGGAACAAGAGAGCTGAGATTCCCTGAGCCTTTATGCCAAAATTCAGCTTCTTCAAGATAAGATGGATCTGAAGCTACTAACCTGGGCCTGCTTGCAACACAAAACCTGTTCTAAGCACTGTCTATGGAGAATCCAAACCATGATTGATACATAGGCCTTTCAGAATTGCCTTTCTTCCTATTTTGTGCATCTGACTGTGGAGCATCTGATGGCTGTATAATCGCCTTCCACAAATCTTTAGTCCAGGACCACCAGAGCCTCCTCCCGTTGGGTACTCCTGGCCATTGTTCAACCTCTTATTCCCATATAGTGGGACAAAATGAATGAGTGGATGGATATGCCATTGGAAAGATGGCTAATACCGTTTGAAAAGAGACAGCAGAGGCTGCCTTGAGAAATACTAGAGGGTTTCCTATAGTGGTAATATGTCTTTATGACAAATCTCATGGTATGATCTAGAAGACAGTAAGAGCTTAGCAAATGGCAGATTTCTGTGACTTTCCCTACTCCTTGATTTCCATCCTAGAGTTGTTGTAGTGGCCACATCCCTGGAGCTAAGGCTACTGCTGCCACCATGCCTGCATTCACAGCAGATGGTGTCCATTTCTCTCTCCTCTAGGACTGAGTGTAAATCTCTTCTCACTTAAATCCCTCCATATGGACCTTACAAAGGAATTCCAAGTCTTCCAGGCTGCCTACAGGGCAGGAATCTCTGTCTAAAACAACCTCTGTCCTTTCAGGCTGAGAGACTTGGTGAAGGAGGCTAGCTTCAGCTATGAAGTTATGTCCTGCCTCTCTTATCCTGTCTGGGCCCTTGTCCTTTGGCATAAAGGGACTCTCATCTAATAGTCTCTTTGGGTTTTGGCTTTACTTGTATCTCCTTTTTCCCAGTTCACATGGTTCTTTTTTTCTAGCATTAGGGACTTTTTTTCCTTTTGTACTCTTCTGCTATTTTGTCTAAGTACACAGTACAGTAGTATGTAAAGGATTTCTCTACTCTATAGGGTAGTTCAATGTCCTGGTCAGAAGGTTTTTCTGGCAGCCACGAGACTGCTGATTGCATTTGGTATCTTCCCACATACTTCTGGCTTTTATGTTGTTGTCTTTTAAGGCTGAGAGCATGCTGCTAATTTTCCTATATCTAATTCAGTTCTTTTCTAAGCTTACCAGATGACAAACGTCTTTAAAACCTCTTTGGCATTCTTATAAATCCTCTCTGTCCTAACATTTACCCATACACTGTCACATGGCCTTTTCTAAGTAGTCTTGAATGGATTTTGTGCACGAGTCTGTAGACCAGTTTGCTCTGCAGGACCATGCTACACGCACCTTTCTCCTCCCCGATATGAGGCTCCTGTGGTAGAAGTTCACTTGGACCCACATTCGACAAATGTTGGTAGTAAAAGAGTGAGAGAAAGCTGTGGGACAAATACTTTCAGAGATGTGATCACAGTGGTTCTTGGTGATAAGCTACATGATCATGCCTTCTTGAATGGACATTCTTTCCTTCTTTCTCAGATTCTCCTTTTTTTATATTCCCAAGTAAACTCCCTGCCCTTGAGGTTCTAGTGTCAGGCACAGGTTGAGAAGCCAGGTTGAGACAATCATGAAATGGGCATAATTCTGTTCAGAGGACAGAAACCAGTGCCTAGCAAATCCTATGGATTTCTGACTTGATCCAAGTTTTTTTTTTTTTTTTTTTTTTCTGAGAGTCTGGAAAGGTTATCGTGGCCGAGGGTGGTCTTATTTCAGTGTACTCCTGGAATGTTGTATGACAGTAAGTTTAGGAGAGAGACCTTCTTTGCCAAGCCTCATCTCCAGGGGATCAAAGACTGAAACTTCGTGAAGATATGGCCTCTCACAACGCCATTTTTTTTCAAGAGAATTTGATGGAGTGCCATAAAAGAGAGCATTGCTTTGTCTTTGTGGTATTTTGGTCCTGCTAGCTTCTGCAGCTACCCCAGCTTTAGAGAATATACCTCTTCTGGTCAGAAAAAGGAACCTTCAAAGGAAAAGACTTGGGCAGATGTTTAATGGGAAGGTGGATACTGGGAAGAACATCAATAGTATTGGACAACGGTGAAGTGGGCTTTGTGGAGATGTTCAAGGGTCTGGACACTACAAGGGGTTGTACATAGGAAGGGGATATACAGGACATTCAGGTAATTAAATGTTCTTTTTTCGTTATTTGTAGAGGTGATCTACAGAGGGGTTACGGTTACATAAGTCAGATCAAGAGTACATTTCTTTTTGAACGTCACCCCTTCCCTCTCTCTCTCCCAGTTTTTCCCTCACATTTCTACCTACAAGTTGTGCAGTTCATTTTCAATGTAGTGTCTAGTGAGTACCACTGCTGTATTTATTCACCATTTCCCCCTCCATTTCTGTGCCCCCTTGTCCTTCTGAAGACATATAAATGAACAAATAAGATTAAAAAAGAAAATCAAAATAGCCACAAAGAAAATACTTTGTGTTTCCATTTCCTGAAGTTCATTTCCACACGTATTATTTTCTATGATTAGTTGCACATAGGTATTGTGCCTCTGTGATCCTCTCCTAAGAATATCCTCCTTTGGTCTTACTGTGTGTGAATGTCT